AGAATGCAAATCACGAGTTGCCCTTTGAGATAACAAATGATCACTGAATCACGGCACGTGAAATGCAATATTTTTTTTATCTTAATTTTAAAAGATATGGTTCATAGACGCTATCTCTTGCTAAAAATAACTTATAAATAAGTTTTGAAAAAGTAAACAGTGCACAGATTACTGACTAGTAATGAATAGGAAAAAGGGGAATATATTTCATAGATAATAATATTGTGAGGTGGGTCATGTATATCTTATCTTATGGGAAGAGAAGTTTTGCGGTTTGTAAGGATTCCCTGTGTCCCGGGGTGGACTGGCAAGAAATGACACACCTTCTCTTCCAGGAAGGAGAAGTGGGTCCAGTCTCTTTCTGTACCTTTGATGTTCCTTGCCGCCACCACCATTGCTACACTGCCTCCTCCAACACTAGCTAAAACTTTAATCACCTGTGAAATGTTTTACCTTTTAGCAATTAATGAGAATGAAATGCTTGGGTCCTTGAAACTTCAAAACGAATAGGTGGATGAAAGTGCAAATGAATTCTGAGCTCAAGTCTTAATTAATGTAACAAATTTAATTTGGTGAACTCAATTTTGAGTTTGGAGATGTTTGGTTTTATCTTGGAGTCCTTGGTATTAGGAAACTCAAGGTTAGACATTTCTCCCCTTCTAGACCTTCTCTTGTTCTCAAGTGAAGCGAAGTTTCGGTTCAAAGTCTCTCATTGTCACGTTACTCTTTTTTTGAGAGTTTCATTCGCAACTTTACCAATTGAGACAATTTAAAAAACTTATCCAGGTCCTCCTATCTTTATTAATGTAATGCATTTAATTTGGTGAATGCAATTTTGAGTTATGAGATATTTAGTTTTATCTTAGAGTTCTTGTTAGGATCCAAAACAAGAAAAAGATGACAAATAGATCTGAAAAAATTGAATCAATCTGATCCACCCTTATTGGGTAGGGTTAAAAAGTCAAATTGACCTAACCTGATTAATCAACCGAATATGACCCAACGCATTTGTGAGGTCTAATGATAGAAGAAGAATGGTGTGATCCTATTTTCAATTTTATAATGTGCGAGTAAGTGATATTAGAAAAATAACGTAGTCTTCAATTTGTGACAAAATTATAATAAGTGATCCATATTGTCGCAGGCTTAGACACACCACTTAGTTTAGACCAGAAAATTTTGAGAAAAGACCAGACCCCTAGGCTCTTGAGACTTATTTGAAGGAAAAGAAAACATCGGATAATTAACAAGTTTGTTGCAAAATCCCTTGCCAAAGAGAAATTATAATAAATCATTATATTCAGTTTCCCTGGCTTCAGCAGTTGCTATTATAGTGTATGGACCTAGCCCAATTTGGCTCTGTTGAATGTAGTTGATTACCTAACTAAATTCTTTTCCCTTTCTCTTTTTGACCTTTCCATTCTGCAATGGACACAATTTTTTTAACTCAATTAAGGTATGATCCCATGCTTTTTGAGACTTTTAATGAATTAGTTAAAGGGATTATCACCTGGATGCTTTCTCTCTCTCCTTTTTATTTTTCTTCATATTTTAAATATAAATCCCATCTCGTTCAAAAGGAATTGGTAGGAAATTTTTATTCTAGTTTCCTTTTATATTTTTTACTTCTCATTTGCAGATTCATTACAGCTCTTATGGCTCATTAGTTAGTTAGTAAAGGAGTTTATTTTTTCTATTGTTGATAGTATTTACCTTACGTAAATGGTTTTCTTTTATTAGAATAAAAAAATTTGATTTTAGAGCACCCTAATTATAAATATATAAAACAAATAGAAAATAAATTTAGGATTCGTTTGTTGGAACTTTTGATAGACTTTTTTCACGCATATCTTATCTAAAAAAGTAA